CCAGTTCACATCTTTGTTTAAAAAATTTTAAGGGAAGAAAAGAAATACCTGAATAAGTTTTTATCTAGAGATTTTACAAAGATAACAAAATGAGGTTTTGAGTCTTGAGTTAAAACTTCCTTGTGAGAACTACATGCCACTTATTCCATATAATTAAATATATTGAGAGAGTAAAATATCTATTGGGTTAGTTGGGGAGGTTTCATGCATATGTGCTTAGTTGCTCAGTCATGTCTGACTCTTTGTGACGCCATGGACTGTAGCCCACCAGGTTCCTCTCTCCATGGAATTCTCCAGGCAAGAATACTAGAAAGGGTAGTCATTCCCTTCTCCAGGGGATCTTCCTGACCCAGGGATCAAACCCCTGTCTCAGGCATTGTCTAATGGATTCTTTACCATCTGAGCAACCAGAGAAGCCCAAAATATCTATAGCCAGGGCTTGATTTTAAGGTTTCAAGCTGGTCCAAATGAAAAAGACAGCCCTTCACCATGGTGGCCAAGGACAGAGGCCTGCCCAGCTTAGACCCTCCTGTTCCCACCCTCCTCTCCCCAACCATCTCTGTAGGCAGCTTCTCAAGCTAAACACTGTGTTTTGCTTAACTGATTCTTATGACCTCTTTTCCTGGTCCTCAATATACTCTGCGAAAATGGCTGCCTGTTTCTTCATTGACTTCTTAGCTCCATGAAGCTGATGTTTTTAGAACTCAATACTCTGCATCTCCTTTGGCAGCTGTCCTAGCAGAGGGAATACGAAGTATCCCACAGAAAACGATGGCTTTGTAATGGTCTCCTCAAGCTTCCTAGAGAAAGAGGTCACTCCACTTCTTTCCATGGTCTGCAGTTGAAACTTGCACACGGAATTCCTTCTGGTCCTCCTGCCCTGCCTCCCTATCTCGCGCCTCCAGCTTGTCACACACACCCAATCTCTGCAGTAACACTTGTCCTGTCTTCTTTACCTTTAGATTTTGGGATAACTATCACTGACACCAAACCCTCACTCACCAATCCTCAACCCCAATCCAGATCAGGGGCTCTCATAGAACCAAAATTTTCCTCTCATTTAGCATTGATCGCATTGTATCAGATTGCAAAATACATGAAGCCACTGGCAATGTGTCTCTGGGTCACTGTCAAATCCTTAAGAGCCAGAAGATTAACTGGTACCCAGCAGGAATGCAAATGAATCTCCTGAAATAAATGAATAAATAAATTCCTTCCCAATCAAAAATATATGATAAGATCATTTCCCCCTGAAAACTGTCTCATGCTATTTCTCAAAGACCAGTAGGTCCTGGGGAAGAGGCTTCCATAAAGAAGTAATCTTTCAACTCATTGCATATCCCATGCATCTCCCCAGCAAAATGTCAGTGCTTAAAGACAATGGCCCACTACAATATTGTAAAGTAATCAGCCTCCAATTAAAATAAATAAATTAATTAAAAATTAAAAAATAAAATAACACACACACACACACACACACAAAATGACCCAAAGATATTTTCAAATTTGCATTTTTGTCACTTATTTAGAATCACAATAGAAGTAAATCTTCAACAACCAACAGCGAAATTAATTGGGTATGAAAGACAGTCTCCAGGACATTTCCTTTCTAGGTGTTGGCTCCTATATTAAGAAACTGTTAAAATCCAAGTTATGGATACACTAAACACTTGTGAACATTTTAGAAAGTGATTAAATGCAACTAGAGATATTTGGAATTGACTAAAATAGTTCCGAGTGAAATTAAATGTATTCTCTATCAGCCCACTGGGGACGTTTTTTCCTCTGGGTCAGTCATAGAAACATCTTTGTATTTGTTTCACATGCCTTAAAATTTTTAAAAATATATTTCAAACAAAAAGCTTAAATGTATTAAGGATTCATTTTACTAATTAACTAATCTCTATTTAAAAAGGATTTTTAATGTTAAAAAAAATTAAATGTTTACAAAAATTCTCTACCAATACTTGGGAGTGTTAAAACACAGAAAAGAATCATGTTTACATATTTTGAAATAATTATTTCTATATCTGAATTTATTCAGCATTTATTGAGGGCTATCTTGTGTCATGTGTGTGTGTGTGTGTGTGTGCGCGCGCGCGCGCGCTCAATCATGACTATTTGTGATCCCATGGACTGTAGCCCACCAGGCTTTTCTGTCCTTGGGATTTCTCAGGCAAGAATATTGCGGTATTCTTGGAGTATTCTGGAGTTGTCATTTCCTTCTCCAGTGGATCTTCCTGACCCAGGGATTGAACCCACATCTGCTGGCATCTCCTGCATTGCCCATGGTTTCTTTACATACTGAGCCACCTAAGAAGCCCTCTCTTATGTCACATACTGAATTAAATCCCCAAGGAAAGAGAAATGAACAAACTTTACTCAGGTCCTGAAGAAAGTTCACCATCTATTAGACAGGTGGACAAATATAACTCACTGAAATAAGAAGTGTGGGGAGTGATGCCAAAGTATACATGGGGAGCACATGGCAGAGATGTTAACCTAAAAACTGATTGCTTTCCTCTAAGACAATGAAAGTTGCTCCCTCACTCACACTAAGTAAAAACATGTAGGTAGATATTAAATGTGGATTTAGTGTTTTACTTGAAAATTTTGTAGGGAAAAAATAAACAGATAAAATTCCATCTTAAAGTTCAGAAATTTAGCAGCAATAAGTAAGTTGGAATTATACTTAGAAGAAGTTGAATGCTTTTGGCACCATATGGGGATAACATAGTAGAAATCTCATTAATGAAAATGAGTTTCACAGTGAGAGAAAACTATAAAGAAAAGAGCATGGGCTTTGGCTTACGCAGACTTAGCTTGAATCGTGGCTGTCCTTTACTAGCTATGTGTCTTTAGACAAATCACATAGACTCTCTAAACCTCAATTTCTTCATATGCAAAATACTAGCTTACACATTAATAAGCATTAAATAAGATCATGTTTACATATCTTTATGACAGACCATTATAAAGACTCAAATGTAACGTTGGCATTCCAACTGTAGGTTAAGCCAGGGGCTCAAATATAGGATGCTCAGTCCTTGGCAAGGAGTGGGAGGATGTTGGCAAGTGTGAAGCAGTGGCCTGGTGTCAGGGAACCTGAAGTACCAGGCAGTGGACAAAACAGAGATGTGAGTGATGACGATGATGACAAAGATGATAATTACTATGGCTCCTTCCAAGGCTCAGAATACTTATCACTGAATTAAGCTTTTAATTTCCTAGGATCAATTAAAGTATTTACTCCTAACCTTCAATGTCAGCTTAAGAAAAAGCAGGCTTCCATTAACCTCTTGTCTGAATAGATCCTCCTTATCTCTGAAAGAAGGCAGGATCTCTGGAATGTTTTACTTGATATTATATTAGTCAATGGGAATATCACTTTCTACTGAACAACTTCTGTGCCCCAGTAAGCCAAATATAAAATGTAATTATTCTACCTGCACCGAGTCAGTAGAACAGTGAACAGTGATCACCCAGGGTGTGAGGAAAGCAGGAGGGCTTGGGCGACATTCTTCAAGGGCAGGGAAAGCTTCAAGAAAGTGATCAAATGGCCCTGGGAACCCTGGAAACACAGTAACTTGAGACTGGGTGGATAGATAGTACTTAGGTACCACTGCGGAGAAGTTGTAGGAGCTATTAAAAAAAAAGATATTAGTAGCTCAAAAAGCTATAAAGGCTATGTGTGTCCATAAGTGAGCTTCCCTGGTGGTTCAGATGGTAAAGAATCTGCCTGCAATGCAGGAAACCTGGGTTCGATCCCTGGGTTGGGAAGATCCCTTGGAGAAGGGAACGGCTACCCACTCCAGTATACTGGCCTGGAGAATTCCATGGACAGAGGAGCCTGACAGGCTACAGTCAATGGGGTCGCACAGAGTCAGATAAAAATTAGAAGTTTTACAGAAAATGGTATTTGGAGAGCTCAGAAAGGAGAAAACTGCTATAGAATAACAGCAAGAGGACAGAATTACCCCCACAATGCAGGATTTGTAGGAGTGCCTGGGGTGGACGAGATATGGTTAAAGGGTAAGACAGAGTCCCAGAATCAGGAGTACTAGTGGGGAAAAGGAAGGTACTGTAACAGAGAAGAGTAAGATGGATTCTGTCATCAGTATTAAGTACAAGGAGTTGAATTTATAGTGGATACTAATGACAGAGTAGATGTCTAGCTGTGGAATCCTTATTTCTACACAGCAGGATCTCTCTTGATGCCAGAACAAGCTAGAGGCTGGCAGTGGGGTCTTCAGAAAAGCAGCGGGGAAGTTAAAGGAGGAAGTATCAGTCCCTTCTACTTTAAGTATTTTCAAGTTCAGAACATCCAGAAAGTCTGGGCTGAGGAAGCTGAAATTTTTCAAACACTGCAAGGGACTAAAGATAACTGAAAACTGATTTTAAAATATGAAAAGTGTTGCTCTTGAAGAAAAGGTGAGCAAAGATAGGATTGGATCCAAAGTCTCCTAATGCTTACCACAGACACTTCTCAAGCCTTGGGTCACATTCTCTTAGTCAGACTGGGGTTTCAGCCATGACTTCATGGCTATCGTGGGTGGTCCCTGCTCACAGAGAACATTGCACTCCAGGTATCCACTGTCCCCCGACTGTCTCTCCTCTTCTCCGCCTCAAGGTTCTCTCTGAAGCCCCCAGAAATTCCCAGGCAGGAGAATCCTGGCAGGGCATCTCTCGACAAAGGGCAGTGGGTGAACAAATGCCTCCCAAGGTGGACAAATGACCCAAATGTATCACTTGACCCAAAGTTTTCCCCAGTGGGAGCTGTCAAAAATACACCTTATTTTGGCTTTTCCTCCTCTGTCCCTCTATCCTCTGTGCCTTGAATCCTGCTCCCTGGGTTCATCTCCGAAATAAACTGCCCTCACCCAAGTCCTTGCCTTGGGACTAAAGTTTAGAAGAGGGCAGAGAGGGAGTCATCTTATTTTTGTACTTTGGTCCTGCTTTGTTTTAATTTGTGTTTGCACTGCATTTCTGTTTCTCCATAGGTCACCAAGATGCTGGCAGTGGTTGTCATCCTGTTTGCCCTTTTATGGATGCCCTACAGAACCCTTGTGGTTGTCAACTCATTTCTCTCCAGCCCTTTCCAAGAAAATTGGTTCTTGCTCTTTTGCAGAATTTGCATTTATCTCAACAGTGCCATCAACCCAGTGATTTACAATCTCATGTCCCAGAAATTTCGTGCGGCCTTCAGAAAGCTCTGCAACTGCAAGCAGAAGCCAATGGAGAAACCAGCTAACTACAGCGTGGCCCTAAATTACAGCGTCATCAAGGAGTCCGACCATTTCAGCACAGAGCTGGATGACATCACCGTCACTGACACTTACTTGTCTGCCACAAAGGTGTCTTTTGATGACACCTGCTTGGCTTCTGAAATAACCTTCAGCCAAAGTTGATTGATGGAGTAGAGAAAATGGATGATGAAGAAAATGAGAATCTGTGCAGTTATCAACCCAAGAGAGGAAACAGCCAATACTCGTATGTGATGACAGAGCAGACAAATTCTTTGCCGATGTTCTAATAAATCCTGGCCCAAGGTACTCTATCCCATGAGAATGATTCTGTTTCATTCTCATATCAAAAAATACACATCATAAAAAAAGTTGAGCAGATCTGTGAAAGATCCAGATGGTGGAAACTTTCCATTTGAGACATTTCACTGTATATTCTGGGGCTGTGAATTTTAGATAAAATCAAGGCATCTATTTACTCTATTCAACATAACTTTATCAAATGTATTTTTTCACCCCCTCCAGATTATTCATACATTTGAGAATTTGGCAACATGAAAAAGTTTAATGTTTTCATTTAGCATTTCATTTTAATAATGTATAGTGCTGTCTTCATGAATATCTGAAACTACACTGAAATATAGGAAAAAACATTTTATTTGTTGAGTAAAAATGAGATTTCAGACAAATATATTCACTGTTTGAAAAATGTCATAATGCCTATAAAATTCTGAGTTGATTTTTTATATTTTACAAAGTAGATGGTCATCATTCAGCTTTAGTGTAAATAACCAAAACCTCAACATAACCAAAATTACTAATTGAAAAGACATGTAGATTTGATATTTAAATAAGTCCAGTTCTATACTCTTCAAGCCTTCAAAATAATGGGTAAGACAGGAGAAACAACTAGATTAAATAATTGTGAAGATACAAACACATAATTAATATTGAAAATATAACCAAGACAAGAGCAAGGGTTTACTTTTTCCTCTGAAACTTTTAAGGAAGAAAATCCTAGTTTTGAGCATTCCCATGTATAAACTACTGAGCCATGTCAAGCAAATCCTTCTAGCTGAATCTATCTTAAAAATCTGAAACATTCTCAAAAGCTTAGTTGCTATTCTAAGTCGACCAAAGACTGACTATTACACTTCCAGATGAAGACCCCACTGAGCATTGTAGTCACTGGATTTCAACCTGTCTACAAGTGTCTTTCCTGCCTGCCTGCTTGTCTTTTGTAGGTTCTTCTTTTTTTTTTTTTTCAAATGCTGTGGTTGTGATATTTTGTTTACAGATTCTAAATCAAAGCAATGAAAAATTTTGTCAGCTTTATGTTCAATAGAGCTAAAATTGATTTCATCTCACTGTTAATATATCTTCACAGTTACAACAGGCCTGCTCTTCTATTCCAGTGATTATTAGAGAGATGTAAATGTGAATCTCTCAGGTCTGGCTTTCATCTCTTTCGGCTGACTCATCTACTAAGATCTGGCTAATCAGTATCTCCCAGTGTCAAAATGGCCCTCAGTGTTGATTCAGTAATAGCTGAATTTTAATGATTGGGTTGAAGAATACTGAGTACTTTTAAGAGTCCGCAAAGACACATTTTCCCTCTCCAGGGTATATCCCTACCTTGTGGCTTTTTTCCTGAAACCTATTGCTAATGATCATTACCCACACAAATACCTTGCTTATGAGGAATATGTTACTCAGTTTTGTAAACTTCAGCTTTTAAATGCCACTTCATGGAGACTCTGCCATCTAAAACCTCAATCCTGAATATGCTTTGGTGAAAATTGGCCTCATCTACTCCATGAAAACATTCTTATCCTGTCACTGTGGCAGTAAAAAAATGCAAGAAAACATTTATAAGAAATGCCCTAAAAGTCTATATGCATGACATTAAGAAATCTATTTTAACTGACTTTTCATCCTGGATTAAAGATTGAATTTGAAATCACATAGATAGAGCACTAGAGTGACCCAAACCCAAATCAGACATGCATGTGTGTGAGTGCATACAGACACATGCTTGTATTTCCATAAGTTACTTAACAAGGGGGATTGTAATATGCTAGATTTTTTTGATAACAGGAAAGAACTGATGTCTTTGAACATCTGCTATGGCTCAGGCATGCTAGTAGATATTTAATCAACATTGTCTTCATCACAGTCTCACTACAGCTGTGGTTTTCTTATGATAAGACCAGGGATCAGGGATTCATTCCCCAAATTGTATAGATGTTAGGGAGAGAAAAAGAAGAAATGTCTTTCTCTTTTCTTTTCCTTTTTTTCAAGCTAGCATGCTGATTAACATTCTTGTGACCTGATGGCATAATTAAGAATATATATATATATATATATACTTTGCAGAATGATAATATTAGATGTTGAAAACTTATGATTAGTTTTATATGTTATTCACAGAACATAATATACTCTTCCTATCTTTGGAAGCTTAATATATGAGCTCAGTTTTTGTTTTAATGCTTAAAAAGTTATTTGTTAATAATCTGTTAGTTTTAGACTACATGGGAAATTCAAAAGAACACAGTTCATAGTGCTTCAACTCTAAAGCAAATGCCATTATGAAAAACACAGTTAATAGTGTTTCCACTCTAAAACTAATGCCATTATGAAGTTAAATGTTCCCATGCAATATCCAATAGATATTTGGGTTTACACAGCACCGATCTAACTTTTTAAGGTATTCTTTATTACACTGTACTAAATCAAAAATACTGCCTTAAATAACCAAAAGTTAACAAACAATCAAATGAAAAATAAAAGGCTAGATTAAAAGTTGCTGAAGGAGTGAAGTAATGTTATTAAGGCCTCACCTAATAAAATTCCTTGAGTTATTTTATTACTTCCAATTTCATTAATTGCTGAGTGTCTTTGGTTAGATCTTGCACCTAAGGTAATTAGGTAAAGGGCACAGATGATTAATAAAACAAACAGACATAAATTTCCACTTCAGACTTCTCCATCAGTATTATGAGTATATTTCTAGAACTTTGCTCTCCAACAGAAATATTCTAAATAATGAAGAGAAATGAGAAAAATATAAACTCTGCAATTATTCTTAAACAACCCAAATGCATAAGACAATGTAACTTGACAATAAACCAAAACAAATGGCTGCTTTGAGCTAAACAATTAGTTAAATCAAAGGAAACTACAGTCATAAAACTTAAGTGTAACTAAACACTAAATGGATACTTGAATTGTTTCATTTTTATGATGAAATAACAATGAGGACATATCTTAGTAATGCTGAATCCACATGGTTTTGAACTACTCAAAGAATCAGAGTTACATCACTGTTGTTATTGTTGTTCAGTGTCTAAGTCATGTCTGGCTCTTTGTGACCCCATGGACTGTTGCATGCCAGGCTCCTCTGTCTACTATCTCCCAGAGTTTGCTCAAATGCATGTCCATTGAGTCCGTATTGCTATCTAATTATCTCATCCTCTGCTGCCCCCTTCTCCTTTTGCCTTCAATCTTTCCCAGCATCAGGGTCTTTTCTAATGAGTTAGCTCTTCCTATCAGGTGGCCAAAGTATTAGCATCAGCTTTAGCATCAGTCCTTCCAATGAATATTCAGGGTTGATTTCCTTTTGGATTGACTGATTGGATCTTGCAGTCCAAGGGACTCTCAAGAGTCTTCTCCAACACCACAGTTCAAAAGCATCAGTTCTTCAGCACTCAGCCTTCTTTATGGTCCAACTCTCACATCAGTACATGACTACTGGAAAAACCATAGCTTTGACTACATGGACCTTCATCAGCAAAGTGATGTCTCTGCTTTTTTGATATGCTGTCTGGGTATGTCATAGCTTTCTTTCCAAGGAGCAAGTGTCTTTTAATTTCATTGCTGCAGTCACTGTTCATGGTAATTTTGGAGACCAAGAAAATAAAATGTGTCACTGCTTCCACTTTTTCCCCTTCTATTTGCCATAAGGTGATGGGATCAGATGCCATGATCTTAGGTTTTTTGATGTTGAGTTTCAAGCCAACTTTTTCACTCTCCTCTTTCACTCTCATCAAGAGGCTCTTTAGTTTCTCTTCACTTTCTGCCATTAGAGTGGTATCATCTGCATATATGAGATTGTGATATTTCTCCCAGCAATCTTGATTCCAGCCTGGGATTCATCTAGCCTGGCATTTCAAATGATGTACTCTGCATAGAAGTTAAATATAAGGGTGATAATATAGAGCCTTGATGTACTCCTTTCACAAATTTTGAACCAGCCCGTTGTCCGGTTCTAACTGACCTGCATACAAGTTTCTCAAGAGGCAGATACGGTGCTCTGATATTCCCGTCTCTTGACTTTTGCACAGTTTGTTGTGATCCACATAGTCAAAGACTTTAGCATAGTCAGTGAAGCAGAAGTAGATGTTTCTCTGGAACTCACTTGCTTTCTCCATGATCCAAGAAATGTTGAGAGTTTGATCTCTGGTTCCTATGCATTTTCAAAACCCAGCTTATATATCTGGAAGTTCTCAGTTCACACACTGTTGAAGCCTAGCATGAAGAATTTTGAAGATAACCTTGCTAGCAGGTAAAATGAGCACAATTATGTGGTACTTTAAACATTCATTGGCATTACCCTTCTTTAGGATTGGAACGAAAGCTGACCTTTTCCAATCCTGTGGCCACTGCTGAGTTTTCCAAATTGCTGACATATTGAGTGCAGCACTCTAGCAGCATCAACTTTTAGGATTTTAAATAGATCTGCTGGAACTCTGTCACCTCCACTAGTTTTGCTCATAGTAATGCTTCCTAAAGCCCACTGGACCTCACTCTCCAGAATGTCTGGCTCTAGGTGAATGACCACACCATCATGGTTATCCACGTCATTAAGACCTTTTTTGTATACTTCTGTGTATTCGTGCCACTTCTTAATGTCATCTGCTTCTGTTAGGTCCTTACCATTTCTGTCCTTTATTGTGTCCATCCTTAAATGAAATGTTCCCATGATATCTCCAATATTCTTGAAGAGACCTCTAGTCTATCCCATTCTATTTTTTCCTCTATTTCTTTGCATTGTTCATTTAAGAAGGCCTTCTTATCTCTCCTTGCTATTCTCTGGAACCCTGCACTCAATTGGCTATATCTTTCCTTTTCTCCCTTGCCTTTCACTTTCCTTCTTTCCTCAGCCATTTATAAAGTTTCTTCAGGCAACCACATTTCATTCTTGAGTTTCTTTTTCTCAGAATGGTTTTGATTCCTGCCTCCTGCACAGTGTTATTAAGCTGTGTCCGTAGTTCTTCACACACTCCGTCTACCAGATCTAATCCTTGAATCTATGTATCGCCTCCACTGTAGACTTGTAAGAGGTTTGGTTTAGGTCATACCTGAATGGTCTAGTAGTTTTTCTTACTTTCTTCAACTTAAGCCTGAATTTTGTAATACGGACCTCATGATTTGAGCCACAGTCAGCTCCTGGTCTTGTTTTTGCTGACTCTATAGAGCTGTTCCATCTGTGGCTACAAAGAACATAATCAGCCTGATTTCAGTACTGACCGTCTGGTGATGTCCATGTGTAGAATCATCCCTTGGGTTGTTGGAAGACGCCGTTTGCTTAGACCAGTGTGTTCTCTTGACAAAACTCTGTTCGCCTTTGCTCTGCTTCATTTTGCACTCCAAATCCAAATTTGCCTGTTTTTATGAGTATATCTTGACTTCCTGCTTTTGTATTCCAATCTCCTAAGATGAAAAGGACATCTTTTTTTGTTGTTCATCCTAGAAGGGGTTGTAGGTCTTCATGGAACCATTCGACTTCAGCTTCTTTGCATCAGTGGTTGGGGCATAGACTTGGATTACTGTGATGTTCAATGATTTGCCTTGTAAATGAACTGAAATAACTCTGTCATTTTTGAGACTGCACCCGAGCATTGCATTTTAGACTCTTTTGTTGACTATGAGGGCTACTCCCTTTCTTCTAAGGGATGCTGGCCCACAGTTATCGCTATAATGGTCATCTGAAGTAAATTTGTCCATTCCTGTCCATTTTAGCTCACTGACTCCTAAGCTGTCAGGATTCAGCTTACCATTTCCTGCCTGACCACATCCAATTTACCTTGATTCATAGATCTAACATTCCAGGTTCCTATGCAATATTGTTCTTTACAGCATTGGATTTTACTTTTACCACCAGACCCATCCATAACTGAGCATCGTTTTCACTTTGGCCCAGCCGTTTCATT